GTATTTCTCATTCAGCCCAGCGATATTTATTTAAATGGAGTGGGATTGGGACTTCTCCATCTCTTTAAGGTCTTTGAACCATAGTGCAGAAACCTTTATTTATTTTGTTTTTTCTTTAATCTGGTTCCCAGTGTTTTTTTCTTTATAAATTATTAAAGGAAAAATAAGCTGAATGGTGCCCATCTGGACCACCATCGGCCTATGCTTCTGTGTTCATCTATAATGCAGATATGGAAAGCGGGGAAGCTTATGGTTGGTTTAGTTTGAATCCCACAAAAAAAGCCAATAATTGGATTCTCTATGGGGCTAATGAGCTGTTGAGAAATAGGGTCATGAGAGGAGTGTGCACTTGGGAATTAAAAAAAAAATGGAGAATATTACTTTATCTTCAATGCCTTTATTAAGGCAACTCCAAACCTAATTTCAAAATTACAAGGCAGGGATGTCTTAGTTTAGCACAAATCATGTCAGTACCGAGTCGTGGCCTTGCTGAGTGGTGTCAGCCTTGCTCCCCTCAGTCTCTTTCCTGTTTTATTAGATTCCATTAGTCAGCCTGGAGTTGTTTGGATATAACCCACATTGTCTTGGAGGATGAGGTTTGTGCAGGCTGCCAGGATTTCTGAAGGCGAGTGGATAGTGGATGTAGAGCAGTGCGATGTCTGGCCAAGTGCTGACAGGATGCCCAGCGTAGAACGCAGAGGAACAGTCGCCTTGTGTTCGCAGATAATTGAGAGCAGGAGGGGAGAGTGGTCACTGAACCCACAGCTTTCTGTAAGAGAGCTTTGCAGAATGCGTTTCTAATTGGCCTGCTGTGTGAGAAGCCATTGGGATTGGAAACTCCCCATTAGCCTATACCAGATTCAGATGGTAAATGAGGTATCTTCTAGCCTGCCCCTATAAATGAAGAACTATTAGTAAGCTTATTGCAGAGACTGACAGGGGGCACCTGAGTATCTTTTATTGAGTGGTTATATCTTAAGTAAAGCACAGCATACACCACCCTGATCACATGTTCTCATCATTCAACTAGATTAATACTTCAGCTCATTAGTCAGTCTGCATATATTAAAAACCCATATAAACCATATTTTAATAATATTAATAATTCTTTACACTCATACAGCACTTTTCTGGGCACTCCACTCAAAGTGCTTTACAGGTAATATGGACTCCTCTCCACTACCAACAAATGCAGAATCCATCTGGATGATGCGATGGAAGCCACAGGATGCTAGAACGCTCACCACAAACCAGCTATCAGTGGGGAGGAGAACAGAGTGGTGAAGCCAATTCATAGAGGGGGATTATTGGATTATTAGGAGGCCATGAATGGTAAGGGCCAATGGGAAGTTTGGCCGGGATGCTGGGGTTACACCCCTACTCTTTTCAAGAAACGCCCTGGCATTTTTAATGACCACAGAGAGTGAGGACCTCGGTTTTACGTCTCATCTGAAAGATAGCACCTTTTTTTTTTTACAGTATAGTGTCCATGTCACCAGACCTTTGGAAGGCAGAGATGTTATGCTAGTAGAAGGCAAATTATTGATTTGAAAGGAATGAAATGCCAATATCAGCTGGGGAACTGCTTCAGCACACTTGAGCCCCAGTGCTCTGATCATGACTTACCACAATGAACTAGCTCACAGTCCTCTGCCTGGCAGCAAGCAGGAGGCACAGGATTGACAGGAGAAGGGAAAGGAAGGGAAATCCTGCTGTGGCTACAGTGCCTCTGCCAGATATCTCCAGCTGATCAGGATAGCATGGGTTTCTTAAAAGAGCAGAAGGAAGTATAGAGAAGAGGCGCTTGTGGTACATGGCAGGGGGCTATTGCATAATGTTGTATAAAACAAATTTAAAAGAATAAAATATTGTAAACCTAAATAATGGATGAGGATTTATATTAATCTCTTGAATACAGTAATTAAATCTGTTGTATTTCAGCAGTAAATTGTTTGCAAATGTCACAGGCTGGTTTCTGTCTTAAACAATACAGAAGGCACTTAGGTGTTTTACAGGGCTGTTTGGTTCCATAGAGTAATTAGATGTTGGTTTGTGGTTTAGCTGTTTTTCTAATTGCAACTGTGCAGTGTTCTCCTATTCCAATACATGTAGTTTGAACAAGCAGGTTTTCTAAGTTGACGTAGTCTTGTAATGTACCCCAACTATCTACAAAAGATTTCTAGCAAAGCAATTTAATTTAGTAAGAAAGATTTAATTCCTAGTAAAACCCGCCATTTCTTTTTTTTTTGTGTAGTGCAAGGGTGTTTTGATAAAGTATAAAATGTGGTGAGCTCAGATTTTCTTTTTTTCAAAAATTTTTCTTGTTACCCTACCAACCAGCAAAACATAATTTCCATCTTAACATTTAGAGCAGTTCTAATTAGTGTTATTAATAGACTGACCATTTGCCTGCAAAACATTCAGCCAAAAGTAAGTGGCAATTTTTAAGCAGTGCAAACACAAAATAGTTATGACTTCCTCTGAGTACAGTAGATGCAGTGTCTGGATTGCTTTTAGTGCAATCTTGCTTTTTGCCAAAGGGTTCCACCCAGGAAATGCACACAGGCTTCTCATGTTTGAAATTATAGCTTCATGGGCTCTGCATTAAGAGTTTGAAAATAAAATACTCAAATGTTAGCCATGTATACAGTATGTGCTTGTTCTACAAAACGGGACATTTAATCAGGACTGTAGTCCTGCAGGACTGTAAACTTTGGAATTAGAAAGAGCAAACCATTAAATATGGTTTAGGCTCTGTGGGGCCAGCCAAGTGTCCTGTCAAGAGCTGGGGGATCTTTTCCCTTTTGTTTTTGCTTTCCGTTTTTCCTGCACAACAGGAGAAAAGCAATACCAAATGCATCTTCATATGGCTTTAATGTGCGTACAGCTAAGCTGCTTTTGATGAAATCTGTACTTTTCCAGCAGAGTAGATACTTGTTTGGGTTAGTTACCTCTTTGTAGTTACCAGAGCTGAAAGAAATAATGGCCAAGTAACGGATTCCTGACTCACTGTTTTACATAAAACATACTGTTCTGTACGGTTCTGAAGTCAATATTTGTTGAATTTGGGTCCTAAGACCGACAGGCAGCTCTTCAGCTTAGGAGATATCCTTGTCCTCAGAAGACTGGAGAGCTGTCTCCACAGTAGCCTGGCTTGGTTCACTGACCTGTAGGCTAGAACTCAAGCCAAAAAGGCTCTGCAGAATCCTGGGGGTCTCCTGACATCAAATTAATAACACATTGCAACTGCTCTGGCGCCAGGAGATTCCAAAAAATAGCTAACTGGCTAAAATGATTGATTCAGAGGTTTGAAATAAGCCATACTCCCCGCTTCAGGACTTGAAGTGTAGATCTCTCTACACTTAGATCTCTCTTCAAGTGTGTGCTACATGGAGGCACTCTTTCCTTTAAAGACAGCTGAAAGATACTATAAATTTAAGAAAGATATGACACTCAAGCAGTCATTGCTGTGCTTGTCAACCTTCAGGTACTTTTTTATTTTTATTTCTAATCTTGTAAGTCATATGATGTATGTTGTCAGTCTTTTAGTTGTATTTTCTGATTATAGTTCCCTCTGAGACCCCTCCAGTGACCGTTATACATTGACGCACACATGTGTACACAGAATCCTTCAGTCTCACGTCATATTGTTTTTCCTCCTGTCATCTCGTGCAATGAGGTGCCCCCAGTGTCTGACTGGAGTAACGCATTGCTGGTCTTCATTATAGACCAGTGTACTATCCCGTGACTTAAGTTAAAACAACACAACAAAATGCTGAGAAGAAAGACCATGAAATCTCCAGCCAGGAAGCACTTATTTCTAAGGCTGGAATGAATTTCTTAAACGTTTATTGAATAAACCTGTAGAGTGGAGAGTTTGAAAGAGCCATGGTAATGACTACAACCTTTGGCTAATAATCGTTTACTAAAACTGAGAAATAAATACTTCCTGTTTTATGGAATTAAGATTTGTCCCTCCCCACACTGTCTGGCTTTCTTGTCTCCTGTATGGTTTTATTTTGATTCGCTTTGGGAAAGGTAGCCACAGCTGAGGAATTTTCAAATGATGGTTCTCCTCAGAAATTAATGACAAATAATCTGAAGAAACTTTCTTTGAAAAAAGTAGGTCTTATTGCAGTGATTCCAGGCCCATGAGGTTTGTGTACATTAATAACCAGAAGTCCTTCTGTTTCTAATTAGTTACTATGTTTTCCTACATTTATTTGTTAATATCTTAAGTTATAATGTAAGTAATCAAGTCTTTGACTAAAGATACTTTCCACTGGTGTATTCACTGTAAGTGTTTGATTTACAGTCTATATTACAGTTCTGTAGAAAGGTTTAAATTTTCTGTTTAAAAAAACGTATAAAAGCTTTGGTTTAAACGATTCAGGCTCAGCATTTATCATTGCAAGAAAATGTGATATTGTCTGACTAGTTGCTGTACACATTGTGGTTATAAAACTTTGTTTTTTTTTGTTTAATCTAGCACTTGTATGGTGTCAGGTTTGCTGCCAAAATGACTTTTTAATTTGAATTTTATTAGCGTCACAGGACAAGAAAAACCATCAAAGCATACTTAATGTAGGTTTTTGCCAGTGGTTTTGAATGCCTTGGATCTAACAAAATGGTAAATAAAAACATCAAACATGAAACTGACTCACTCAGACTCAGAACATTTCAGCTGATCATCTTAACCACAAAGAGATGTTTTCAAGAACTGTATATAAAACTACCAAAACATTTCTGAATCTATATATATAACATATAACAGTTGCTCTTTTTTGATAGGGGTGGCAGGTGGTTAGATGTGTGAAATATGCTCTGTAAATTGTCCTTTATTGCTGATGTTCATTCCTTAAGAATTGTGTTAAAATCATTTCAGAGCAGGTCTGTTGAGATATCTCATACAGAAACCGATTTTATGCATGCAAAGCATTTTCCATTAATAACTGTGCCTGTCTTTTTTCTTTTTTTGGACATGTGCTTTACGACAACAGTTCAGGAGATTTCTCTGTGATTCGCCACTTCAGGTAAGCTTATGCTATAAAGATTTTTGTTTCGATTTTTGCACTAGAGTATAAGATGTATTGAAAAATAACATAAAAACACAACTAGATAAAAATAAGCAGAGACTAGTAGCATGACCCTGTGAATCATGCTTGGTTTAATGCAGATTCTCATGCAGAAGACAGATATTTGAACCAAAGGTATGAATACAGAAGTAAAATGCACCGTGCAGCACTTTAGTTGGATATCATGAATTTAGTTATGTCTTGAATGGCTAAAAGTGCTTTGCCGACACAAGATGATGCATGCCATCTAGAAAACCAGATAACAATGCTGCCTGTGAAACCTCTATATTCTATTATGCTTTATGAATTTGGAATACTGCAGTTAAAAGATATGACACACTTTTAAAACAAAGTGAAAGGTTTATGGCAATCAATCCATCGTACTTATCTGAATGTCATGCTGTACCAGCTCATGATGTACCCTGCTGTATGGTTTTTGTGTTTTGTTAATTTGTTCCATGCTTCTGATCTAACGACTCCCGATTTATGTGTGCAAGACAATATTTGACCCCAAGAAAAAGTACACACTGGTGACAAGATATGCAAAGCTGACATATACTGTAAGCTTGCTGGCAGCTCGCAGCATCAGAATGAACACTTGAGCAGAGGGCTACAAGGTATTCCTCACAGGATTCCCATCAAGCATTCTTACAAACAGATTTTAGACTGTATGTGTCATACCGTCATTGAAGATATATTCATCCATAACCAGAAAGCTGCTTATTTCTTCTGAGGGTCTCAACAACCCAGAAACTGTCCTGTAAGGCGAGGATGCAAAGCTGGACTGCACCCTTGACAGGAAGCAAGTCCATCGCAAAACTTCAAAGATGAAGTTTGGAGTCCTATGTTCTCTAATGAGAAATATTAACAAATTAAAGTCATGTAGTTTAACAGGAGTAAGTCATATGTACAAACATGAGCAGACTATGTTGTGTCTGTATGATTATGTAACAGACAGCAAGATGTGTGAGTCGCAAATGTTCTGCTTGCTTAGTTTTTCAACTCCAATCCCACACTGCAGTCTCAATCCTTCCTTTAAATATTTACTTGTGTGTGATGAAGAGTAGTAGTGATTATGGCTATAACAGATCATCACCGGAATCAAACAGGGCATTGAAAATGTGGGGTCTGTGCAGCAAGGCAGTTAGAGGAATTAGGGCTCTGTGTGCCAACAAGGGAAACATGAACCCCACCGTGAGGAGTTTGGCCGACGCCTGATTTGTTTAGGAAGCGGCTTCAGCTGTTTAGCACCCTCACAAACAGAACTGCTTTCCTTCAATTGCAGGCTTAGGCTGTGAAAGGTAGCGTGGGTGGATCACTGAAGTAGGGCACAGGTCTGGAAACTTCAAGGAAATGGGGATGGTCTGGGGTCTTCTCCCTGTGTTATAAGTCTCCTACAGCAGCACATCAGCTTCCTGTCCTTGGATGTATTGATTGCAAAGGGCTTGTAGTACTTTGAAATTTTCATAAAGAATGCTACGGTATCCAGATTTGTTTTGTTCTATCAACCTGTGGAATGAGATACTGGGTCCACTTTATTTCTGTAGCAAGATGTTTTTCTGGTCATATTCCGATGTCCTTTCTCCGCCTGGATTGCACAGTCACAACTTTCCTGTATAGAGAGGTGCATCGAGCCCTGTTACTCAAGAGCTCATCCAACTAGCCCAAAGAACTTTGATAACTACCTCTGTCTATCCTGGCTTCTGGCATCACTTTTGAATCAGGTAATGGTGAAAGACATTCAGTTCTTTCACCTACCTATGATTGCTTTGAAGAATTGGGAAACTATACTATACAGAATTTGTAGTGCAAAGCACACCTGTCCCATAATCATAAGATATCTAATTGTAAATTACATTCTAATGTTGACCCACATCATGCCTTGAATAAGTATAATGGCTATGGAGTATGGAGTATAATCCTTACAGTGCTGATGTGTTTAAAAATATTTGTGCAAAATAGCACAGAAATGTACTGTCATGTGTCATGTAGATTGATCTTTTCTGGAATAAAGTATTACACCTCAAAAGCCAATGAAGATGCAGTATATCTCTAACGTAGGGGATCGCACTAGATCATTTTGATTTATGTTCATCATGTTTTTTTGTTAAAAAAAGGAATAAAAACAAAACTAGAAAGCCACAATGGCTTTGGGGACTGTAATGAAATTGTCAGGTCATGGCAATTACACCAGTAATTTGGTGTTTTGCGTTTTACGTGAACAGAGACATGTGTTCTGTTCCTCAGCTCTCCTGGTACCTTCACGTTCCTGCACGCTCATGACTAATGGAGCTCATTAGGATTTATAGGAAATGGGCTTTTATCACCTCGTCAAAGTGGGCAGCAAATCAGCACTGGCCCCGGCCCTGTGTGGCGATGGCCATGTAACTCCCCTGTCCCCCGCTGGGGCCCTGCCAGGGCGCCTTCTCCCCGCCATCTTTTATTGACATTTCCAAGCCTGAAGTCAATTTTGTGTGGCTTTACTTCCACATGTCTCCAATTAGATGCAGTTAAACAAAAAAGGCATCCGTATCCTCAGCCAGAGGAACTCTTGGGTTTCTGCAAACATAGGGCCTCAGTATTACATGGAAAATAAGTTGCATCTGTTTGTTGTGTTTATTGGTTTTGAAACTAGCCATGCCATTGCTCCCAATTAATGGGGAGGCTCTAATGGAGAATTAGTAATCCTCACGCTTACGCAAAGCTGCACTGGATACAAATTAAAGAGCATTCATACAGATTGCTGGCAGATAGGAAACACTGTTGCTCCTGGAATTACAGTGGGAATTAACGTGTTGTTCTAGTTACTGCATTAATGTCCTTCTGTCTGGAGGAACATTTTGTAATAAGATTTTTAAGGACATTAACCAGATCTAAATTTCAACAAGCAAACTCTCTCATGTAATTTGTTTGAGACATTGCTGTTAATAGGGCAAGCCTGAAGATCTAGAGAGCACATTGCAGAAGTTCCTTAATGTTGCATATTTATTTATTTTGCTATATAAAGCAATGCAAACAGCTTTTTTAGTAGGTCATTCAAGTCTGTCTGCTTGACATACAGTAACCAGAGTGAACTCAAGGCTGTCCTTCGGTTAATAGTCCTGCAGTTTCTCCACTCGGCCTGAGAGAGGCAAGTGAACCCAGCTGCTCTAACTTTGTGTTCACTAAGAGAACACCTCCTTGTGGTAAAGACTCGTGTGTTCTGTTTGATATGATGGCAGCCACAGAGCACAGCTTCCTGCTACAGCCTGCAGAAGGCTCTGTCTTTTCTGGCATACTGGACATCGGTCAGTTTTCAAACAAACCTGATTTTCACGGCGAGGCACATAATCATTTTCACATAAGACACATATCATTTGATACAATGCCTTGCGGAGTGTTCACCACCCACTAAAATGTCTACATCATGCTGCTATCTAAACTTGCAATCGTGGGCATTTTCAGGACATTATTTAAACTGATAATGCTTAAATTGCTGATAGTACATAAATAAGTTCGACTTTAAAATAAAATTTCAAAAATCTCAATTGAATACTTATTCAGCCTCTTTGTTGTAGCAAAATAAGTTCTGATGCAAAATGATTCGTCTGAAAGGTCACAGAATTAGTGTACTGCTGTCTGTATTCCCTCAGACACTAAGTTTCAAACCACATCTCTTATAGTGATTCTGACAAACCAACTGTGAAGATCAAGGAGCTTTTGAAACAACTTGGGGATAAAACTGCTAGGCAAGTACAGATCAGGAGCAGGTAACAGGAACATTTCAAAGTCACTAATTATTAAGAATGTGCATCATATCACAGAGGAGAGTGCCCTTCCAACCTGAGGAGCTGGTTAGGGATGCCACTGTGAGCCTTACAGTAATATTAAAAGATTTGTAGCTCCATGTCTGAGTTGTTTATACATAGACAATAACCCAGTGCCTACACAACACTGGCTTTTATATTTGAGTGGCAAGAACAAAGCTATGACTGAAAAAGATTTTGCGTAAAAGCATATAATGCTGTAGACATGGCAGAAGGTTTTCTCGTGAGAAAGGTCAAAAATAGATATTTTTGGATGAAATGCAAACCATCATAACTGACCCAACATGGCACATCAAACAGTCAGCGCCATCCCAGTGTTGTGGCATGGTGGTGCCCATGTAGTGTTATGGGATTACTTCTCATCAATGGTTTGGCAAGCATGTCAGGATTGAGAGGAAATGGATGGTGCACATCACATGCAAATCCTAGAGGTTTTGCAAACTGGTTTGAAACTTTGCACTTCAACAGTACAGTGACTTGAAGCATAAAGCTAATGGCACATTGAAGTGGTCTGAGAAGCAGAGACTTAATGTTCTTGAGTGAAAGTCTTGACTTAAATTCAATAGAAGATGAATAGTGAAGCTTGATGTAGTCCATCAGCTATCCCCCATAAACTTGTCAGGACTGGAGCAATGTTGCCTGGACTGATGGAGAAGATTATACCAGCTGGCAGAGACCTTTCCAAAATACTGACAGTAGTCAAAGTTGCTTCTACCTAGTACTGACTTAGAAAACTGACTTAGATTTTACTTAAAACTTTGATTTTTCTTTGCAGGCTTTGCTGACAATCTACTTCATCACACCTTTCACACACATACAGTATATATATATATTACCTGGAATGCATTAAAATGTGACACTGTTGCTAGGAGGTGAAAGATTTTGCAGAACTTTATAAGTTTGCACAGAATTTTCGTTATGTTTACTGGTGGTAATGATGAAGAACATCTTAATTTGATATCAATAATCAACAGGACTTGTGTTCTGTATCTTATTTTGAGGTTTTAAGTAGCCGGAGGATTGGGGATCATGTGGGGGTTCCCTATTTTATTTTAATCTTCTTAAATGCAATGCTGCCTTCATTGTACTGGGCAGCAGCCCTAGAGCCAGTGAAATCCAATACCATACAGAGAGCACACTACACTGAATGAT